GCTGAGCAGCTTTTCTGGTGCAATAAAAAAGCAAAATTTTCCCTCAAGAATACACTAGTTTTCTACTGACTAAGACGAGACGATGACGAGCTAAAAATAGATTTTTGATAATAAAAACTATGACGAAATGTATATTTTGTTTTCGTTGACGAGACGAGACGGGACTAAGGTGTTAATGGTGGACTATCAGACTTTCGAAATGCAGGATATTTTCCCCCAATTGTCCGTCTTGTCTGTCAAAATGCATCCCTGTCATTGGTTGAATTAGTTGGGATTCTGGGAATCTGCACACGTCACTCTATTACACAAGTAAAGTGTCAAGAGAGTGAAATGTTGCTTTATGAATTTCAACACTATGTCACCTTGATTCCAATTTCAGATACTTGTATTTAACTGAATTAGTTTAAAGAGAGGAAACATTTTGACTGAAATGTGATGATGTTTCATCGACTAAAACTGGACTGAAAAACTTTTTGAGTTGTCGTTGACTAAAACTAATAACCATTTTCGTCTAAAGACTAAGACTACATCTAAAATAGCTGCCAAAATTAACACTGTATAAAAGACATTGAAAAGCGCATTTCGCATGATAGGAGACCTTTAACACAAACCTTTCTCCACAGTCCGTGTTACCAGTCTCTCACCTTTGACTTGTACCAGTCCTCGGCCTCGGAGATGTTCTTGGCGGCGATGCCCTCGTACTGAGCTCTGATGTCCCTCAGCGCCGCCGTCAGGTCCGGTTTGGACATGTCCATCTGGACCTGAACCTGAGTCTCCTGCATCTGCGTCTGGAGCTCTCTGATCTCCTGCAGGAGGAGGAAGAGGAGGAAGAGGTGGTCAGGTTAGAGTGGAAGCAGGTGAGTTTTTGATAAACCTGCATTCTCTGTAATATCAGCACTGGTTGCAATTGTATAGAAGTCTATGAGAAATCTCCCTAATTCTCTCTTGATTTTTATTTCAGTGGACATTTTCCTGACGAGTTAATGGTCTCAATCTCTAGTTCCAAGTCTTCTTCAACACAACATGCTCATTTAAACTATGCTCCTATTTAAAGTTAAATAGACGATTAAAAAAAGGGTTTGCTTTAGGGCGGGACTTCAGTGTTGATTGGACATGTCAATCACAATGTAGTTGTCCAGTTTGGAAGTATGAAATATTTCTTTCTATATGTACTGCTAACTGTCCTTAAATGAGTTAAACAAGTTAATAACCTGTGCCTCAAAGTGACCAAATAATATTTTCTACTTTTGCACAAAGAGCCAGAAAAAGACCTCTTCATGGATCCTCTTCAGGAAGGCGATCTCTTCCTGCAGCGTCTCGATGCGTCTCTCCAGATCCAGACGAGCCAGAGTGGCAGCGTCCACATCCTGCAACCGGTCGGTAAATCAGGATTAAAAGTTAGTAAAGCAGTCATTCGGTGCACGTTGATATCTTCTGCTGTAATTCAGAAGGAAGGCACTCACCGCCCTGAAAGCTGCCAGGTTGTTTTCTGCCTCCTCTCTTTGGATCATCTCCTCCTGGAGTCTGGAGGAATCAGATTGGAAACGTACTTTAAATATAGACGACGGTGTCTAAAAAAATTGAATTATCCTAAAGGTTACCCGACAAGTACTAACCCAGATTAAATCCTGTGAACAGGTTTTATTCATTATTAAAATCCTTTAAAGGAGGTTGCAGTGATTATTAACCGGTGGATGACAGTCTGTATTAAAACTGACACTCATTGTGTAAACAACAGCGAGACAAAGGACAGATCATCAGAGCTCCTTCAGATATGTGCAGCGCGTTCCTCTCCTTTTATAGAAGAGGGCAGTGTAAAGTGTGTGTGTGTGTGTGTGTGTGTGTGTGTGTGTGTGTGTGTGTGTGTGTGTGTGTGTGTGTGTGTGTGTGTGTGTGTGTGTGTGTGTGTGTGTGTGTGTGTGTGTGTGTGTGTAGTGTGTAGTGTGTGTAGTGTAGTGTCGTAGTAGTGTAGTAGTGTAGTGTGTAGTGTAGTGTGTGTGTGTGTAGTGTAGTGTGTGTGTGTGTGTCGTAGTCGTGTAGTGTGTAGTGTAGTACGTGTAGTAGTAGTAGTGTGTGTGTGTGTGTGTGTGTGTGTGTGTGTGTGTGTGTGTGTGTGTGTGTGTGTGTGTGTGTGTGTGTGTGTGTGTGTGTGTGTGTGTGTGTGTGTGTGACTTGTCTGTGTGTGTGTGTGTCTTTACATATGTATTAGAGACATCCAGCGTGTGTGTGTGTGTGTGTGTGTGTGTGTNCTCTGCCTACCGCAGTGTTCATTTTTATAATAAAAACTATGACGAAATGTATATTTTGTTTTCGTTGACGAGACGGGACTAAGGTTTTAATGGTGGACTGAGTCCACCATTAAAACCTTAGTCCCGTCTCGTCAACGAAAACAAAATATACATTTCGTCATAGTTTTTATTATAAAAATGAACACTGCGGTAGGCAGAGTTTCCCCTCTGAAGCCCCTCTGAGAGCCCCTCACTTTGACATCTGTCGCCTCATGAACGTCATTTGTTTATCTATATAAATATATTTCTACGGTCTGTGCGGCTTCTATAACTTGATAACTTAAAGGGTAATTGAACGGTTAAAAACTGTTCCTTAAAGGCGTCTCTCTGACAGGTTGCCCATCACTGCCGTGGGAATTGTAGTCTTTTATACTCGGGTTGACTACAGATTAGGTGGCCTTTCTTCTAAAAACAAACCACTGTCTCTAACAGTCTGTTTTCCTACATGTCCTTGTTTGTCTCTGCAGGAAGCAGCACGGTGAGATGGGAGAACCGCACCATGTACTGCGTGGTCAGTGTGTTTGCTGTGGCTATCGCATAGGACACACACACACACACACACACACACACACACACACACACACACACACACACACACACACACACACACACACACACCACCAGAGTGCAGTGTGTTCCTGTGAACAGCAGGGGGCGACAGAGTGCCATGTGTCCACCTGCAGCTCCACCTCTAAAGGAACATCTGCAGAAGCCCAGCTGTGTCCTCCAGATGCATGCACTCATCATATTTATCCTCTCATGTCACTGCGGCGCTTTAGGAGTTAGCAGCAGTAGCTGTTAGCATTCTTCTTCTTCTTCTGTGTTTTCTGATGTTTAGTATCATGTCAACAAGAGAGAGATTTTGTACGCAGGGTTCTGCTGCAGGAACATTAAGACATTTATGAGCGCATTGCAGTGTTCAGCCATTTATCTTAAATGAATAAAGTCACACACACTTCAAGAGAAACCGCTTATTTATTTATCCATATGATGTTTCCTCAGTTTTGTGCCATTTTTCAGATTCACTTGTGTTTGTAAATGTACAGTAAATACTCAGGTACTCTACTTCAGTACAATATGAAGTTACTTATATGTTCTGCAAGTATCTCAAATGTGTTCTGAAGTGAGAGAGAGCCTCTCTGTCAGAGACGACGGTTCCCACTTCTGTTAACACAAGTTACAAAATCCTTTAACGCAATCAAACCAAACCGCTCCGAGAGTTCAGGTTTATTACCAAAAAAGGAAATTCCCCAAACCCCGGGGTGCACACTGAGTCCACGGCGACACCTTCAAATGTTCTGACTGATAAAAACACTAATACATTCAGTGTGCGATGGTGTCAAACAGACTGGACACACAGTACACACGTTGTTGCAGGTTTGACCTAAAATACTACATAACAAAAATTACAGCCATTTTTTTCTTTGCACTATTTAGTTAAAACTTCAGTCTCTGTTATTATTCAGACACGATCACAGTGTAAACAGAAGGAGGCTAGCTATCCATTTGAAGAGTCTCTGTTCACTAAATACAGTTGAGTTGAAACTTAAAGAAAAGCAACACAAAAGCAGGCAGAATGAACAACCGGTACGTGGTGCTGCTTCACTTCCTGGTTGTTTGTATGCCTCACACTGAAGCTGCTTTAATGCCTTGCTCCAGGGCGATTTAGCATTTCCTTTCCTCTCAAACTTCAGGACTTTCATTCATTATTCAGACACCATAGACCTGCTCCTCCTCGCAGCCAACAGAAATGGAAAAGAGAAGGCAAGTTTTGAAACTAGCAGTGGTTTGAAAAGTTGAAGTAGCAAAAGGAGAAGAATGTAATGTGGAAAACGCCGCCGGTATTTCCTCCACGGTTTGAGCAACGTCTTTGCCAAACGTCTGTGGCGACACTTTGACCCCTCACATGAACGAAGAGAAGTTAGAAGTTCTCCTTGTTGAAGATGAACTTGACGTCGCCCTCGGTGTGAGACAGACTCTGCTTCTCCAGGGACTTCCCCAGCTGGGGGGGGCCGCACAGAAACACCCCCACTTTAGTCCTGAGGACAGAGTTATTCACTTTAATGCAGCAGTCATGGAGAGAGAGAAGTCACGACTCAACTTGCTCAGAGATTCAAATAGAAATGTATAAAAAGAAGCAAATGAACCGTTGTTGGGAAAGTGATTAATGTGTTCTTTCAAGACCAAGTGTGTGTGGAAGGATGTGTGATTAAGAGCACTGTGACTCACTGTTTGTCCGAATGTTTTAGACTTTTTAGAAAAAATCAGATTTAGAGAAAAAGTCAGATTTTTTAGAAAAAGTAATAATTTTGAGAAAAAAGTAATAATTTTGAGAAAAAGTCAGAATTTTGAGATGTTTTAGAAAAAGTCAGATTTTGAGAAAAAGTAATAATATGGAGAAAAAAGTAATAATTTTGAGAGAAAGTCAGAATTTTGTGAATTTGAGAAAAAGTCAAATTTTTTGAGATTTTGAGATAAAGTCATTTTTTTGGGAAAAGGTTTTTTTTTTTTTTTTTAAAGTGATTTTTGGAAAAAGTCAGAACTTTGAGATTTTCAGAAAAAAGCCAACATTTTGAGAGAAAGCTGAGTATTTTGTTCATGACAGCAGGATGTATGATTAGCTAGAAGAACCGGTATTCCTCCATCTAGTGACTGTGGAACTCCCTCTCTTGGATATCAGCATGTGAAGGACACTGTTCAGGAACTAGTTGATGCTCTGTATGTGATGACTACTTCCATTCTGGAGAGGATCACAGATACATGGATCCTGAGATTCAAGCTCAAGATGACCACCGAGACATTTAAGTATAACAGAGACAACATGAGCAGGATGATTACAGAGACACAGAAGAACTACACGGAGACATAAAACTACAGAAAATGAGCAACGAAAAAAAAAACAACAACTATAAGAGACAGAAAACATGCAGAAGGTCTACGATAGGTCAAAACATAACCACAAACAGGCACAGAACAACAGGAGAGGTGTTGGGCCCTTTCGTGTGTCTGTGCTCAGGGGCCTATTGTCTATGTGTGTGTTCAGAGTGTGTGTCAGTGTGTGTACAGTGTGATAAGGTGACAAAGGGCCTTACCCAGGGTGCTTTGCTGCCACGTTGCCGAACTCATTGTCCCAGTTGGGTTTCCCGTAGAGAGTCTTCTGTTTGAGGCCTGTGATTGGATCGTTTTCCGCCTCGTGGTGAACGCGGAAGTGAGCCGCCTGACGGGAGAAAACAATGATAACAATAATAAAAAAGCTTTATTTATAGCACAATGACATTATTGTTCTATTAATATAAAGGGAGGTCAGGTACTCTTTAAAACAGATGGTAGTAATGGGTACTTTTTACTGAAGTACATTTCAAAGTTCTTTACTTTGACTTGAGTTACACGTCACCTCTGCCT